GGCTACCCCACGCCCTCGCCGTGGTTTCCGGTCCGGGGGTGCCCGCCTCGGCCTCGGGCCCTCCTGGAATCATCGGTTTCGGGGGTGACGGGGCGCTTGGGAAGAAACGGACGGAGGCGGGAGGGAGCCGCGCGCGCCCGAGGACCCGGAGAGGAACGAAGTGAGAAAGTTACACTGAAATTGTACTGTTTCACTCATCCCAAGGTGCCCGGCACCTACGCAAATGTCTGTTGAATGGGTGACGGGGTGATCGAGGAAAACAATCGGAGAAGCGGGGCCCCCTCTTGAAGCAAAGGGGAAAGGGGAGGGCGAAGGGAGCCCCAGCGCCCTCCGAGCCCCTCCACGAAGACAGGCCTGGGCCCGGCGCACTCGCAGTGGACGTCCCGCGGGTTTCGGGGGCGGGGCGCGCCCGGCCGTCCCGGGAAGCGCGTGGCCTCGGGGTCTGGAGCCGCGGGAGGGCGTTGCCATGGTGACGGGCTCCGCCGCGGCTTCCCGGGGTGCAGAGCTGGGCGTCGCAGTTGTCGCCACGGTGACAGCAGCGGCGGACTTTCACGCTGAGGGCCCTCCCGGGACTAGGGGTGCTGGGGCCGTGGGCACCCGCGCCCGGGTTTAGGGGCGGGGCCCGGGCGGTAGACGATTGGTCCCGACGTGAGCCGAGTTCTGCCCCCCGACGGGCCGGCACCGCGGTATGAAGGGGAACTGGAGAGGGGATTTTTTAAAAAAATATGTCTCTATTGACTTGAGAGAGAGGAAGGGGGAGAGAGAAACATCGAAGATGAGACTCGTTGGCCGGCTGCCTCCCGCACGCGCGCCCCCTGCTGGGACCGAGCCCGCCTCCCGGGCCTGCGCCCCGACGGAACCGAACCTCCACCTCCAGACCCCAGGCGGATGCTCGACGGCTGAGCCACGCCCGGCAGGGCGGGAGACGGGAGTTTTAACTCGAACATAAATGAATGGCTGGGTTCCGGAGGAGCTGGGATGGTTTGTTGATTGCGTGGATGGACCCACGGATGGGTGAGTAAGGACTTGGCTACCCCGACGCCTGGGCCCCCACCCTCGGGGGCCCTCCACGCTCCAGGTTCCTCACTCACTTGTGACGGCTCTGCGGGAAACAGATGCCCCTTCCCTGGATGTGCAGCACACCCTCAACCCAAACATGCAGCCCAGAGTCGTGGGGTCCAGCACCTCACACTGGGAGCCCCATTTTGGGGAGCCTGGGCCAATAGATAGGGTAGGATAAGGGATGGCCCAGCCTGAAACCCACCTCTTCTCAGGTTTCCTGCTCAGGTGCTACCTCTCCTTTTCCCAGCCTCCATCCTCTCTCCCAGTTTGCCCAACCCCTCGGAGACACCTGGGTGTCCAGGCCTCACCTGGTGCCCAGTATAGCAACATCTAGAGCCCCAGCAGCTATGCGGTCTGCATCTCAGCTGGTCTTCCCTTGAGACTGCTGGAACCCTGCTATAGAGGGTGAGGGATCTGGTTCCGCACCCCCCACCCCCAAGTGGGGTTAAGTGGGGGATGGTTCTGGAAACAAACACAGCTGCTGTGAATCTTATGGGGGGGGGGG